CTCTGGTGTGAATGATTAGTGAGATGAAGCTAGCAGCCGTTGTCTCCGCTGCACTCGTTGAACGCGCTAGAACGCGGAACGCCGGCGTCCGGCGTTTGGTTCTCGCAAGATGGACAATTGGGCGAGTCGGTGTGAGTTCATAATGAAATACAGCGCGACATAGGACAAAGAGACGAGAAAACACAAGACAAGCGCTACATGACCTGTCTTGTGCCTTCTCGTCTCTTTGTCCTAGTCGCGCTGTATTTCATAATGGTTCTCGCATTCGAACGCGTTCGAAAAGTGCAGTGAAGACAAAGGCTGAGATAGGTTTAGGCCTTCTCCCTAATTCTTCCAACCAGAGATCGGCGCTTTGACGTCCCTGCCCCCTTTCGCCTCCTCCTCCCTCTCACTTTCTTGGCGTATAGGTGAAGCAATCACCAGGGGTCAATCAAAAGGCAACACCGACGGTGTTGTATTTGGGATCTGAGCTTTATCATTTGACCCCGCAATGGACCGATCTTACTATGCGTTCCACGCAGGCCTGACGCCGCCATAACTGTAGTTCACAGAAGCCAGGTGCCAGTGTGCGAGGCTGCTGGTGTCGTCTCGTGCTGTGCTCGCGCAGACCCGCGGCGGGGCTGTAGCGCGTCCAGAAAGACTACAGTTCCCACAATGCATGTCGACAGCGGTGGTGCAAGGAAATTGACTGGTGAGATCGGTCTATTAAGCAGGGACGATATACTTCGCAGAGAAGAAAGTATTAAAATAGAGAAGTTAAACAACATTATTGCTCCCACCCTCTGTAGAAAGCTTACTCGTTTGTCGCCCCTTCTTAATCATTTGTTTTGTTCCTCAGATGACCACTTAAAGTTCGTGCAAGTAAATAAATAAAGAAATCAAAAAGTCCGACGAGCAAGCAATTGACCAAGATCTACGTTTAACTAAACTTTTTGGATCTGGAAGAAAACCAGAAAACACAACATTCCAGTCTTCAAGAACATTTCCCGTTTCTTCTTTTCCTGTTTGCTTTACTCTTTGTTTTTCTTCAAAACTGGTGCTGACGTTTATCCGCATTTCTTTCAGACCCTACATCCCGATAACGTCATAATCACGTAATCTTACGAGGCATAAATGAATAATTTCGGTTCACCACCATAATAGGCTCTGTTTCATGGTCCCTGTAGGTTGGCTGTTCGCCAAAACGCAGAGGTCCATTCATCGATACCCTTAGTCCAGAGTCCCGAAGACCATCGATGCGCGAGGCACCCCACTAGTCCTCGCGACAACAAAGCTGACCAGTGCGGTCGCCCCTTTCCATGCTCTATAGGAGGGGACGAACGCTTGACCAGTGTGCGCGTTCGCCCGCTGACCAGTGTGGCTTTTGAAGCCCAGCGGGACGTACAGGACGGGGCGGGCTGTCCGGCTATCCTCCAAATAGCCGGTCCCGATCTTCGAATGCCACCAAAATATGCGCAGTTCGCGGAGCGGCGTCTTAAAATGAGTCCCTGCCAACTGCAAGCTGAGCGAGTTGCCGTCGTGGTGTATAGTGACTTCCTCCACTTTTTTTCAGCTCGTCTTTTCTTCGTGTCGTCCGATTCGCGCCGGCGTGAAACGAGGGGACAGTGGGAGGAGATACGCCGATTACGCTCGCCGTATACACACGTATAGTACCTCGTACGGGGCGAGAAAAACAAAAATCTGCATGCCATGTTCCGCGAAAACGGGCGAGTGAACGTCGGAACGGATGTGTTTACATGAGATTCGACGCGCTTTCCGCGGCGTCTGTCGCAGCTTTCTTGTAAGCGTCGCACAGTATATGTGCATCGGGGCTGGGATCTAATACAAAGTATATATACTATTAAATTATGAATGCAAGGTTCTACTTCAAGATATTTCAAACGCGATTCCTTGATACTTTTTTTTTTTTTTTGCGTTGTAAAATATGTTACATTTTGGGTAAAACTTTTATATATATATATATGTCCATATAGTTTTGTAGTGCTGTTTGAAGTTCCGTCATATGTCCGCCAGCCGTCGCGGGCGCCTGTACGGAGAGAAGCTAAAAAAAAAAAAAAAAAAAGAGGCAAAAACGGTAGCTTGCGCTGACGTCACAGCACCAAGTTCCTTTTGGAAGGATTAGTGGTAAACGCAAAGGCTAACTGACTTTGTCTCACTGTGTCCTTTCAGTTATGAGAGAACAAGAACATGTCGTCTGTTCCTCGCGCAGCGTCTGGCGTCCGAACGCCGGCAGTCGACGTTTGGCATTCGAACGCCAAACCCTGCGAGACGAGAAAGGCAGACGGCGTTCTTGTTCTTTCTAATTGGAGAAAGACAGAGAGACAAAATCAGGTAGCCTGTGCGTGGACCCACTAATTCTTCCAATCAGAGCTGGGCAGTCTGACGTCACTGCAGGCTCTCTTCTCCTTTTCTCATTTAATTTATCTACGTGTTCAAATGGCATGCGTATGATTATATTTTAACGAAGCGATTGTTTCCAAGAGTTAGTTTTCAGTTAATCACCCCTTGGGACTGACGATTTTTTGTTCTCCAATAACAGACAGTCATGATTTTGTGTCGTATTCTATTTGGAATGTGTTTTTCGTGCGACCTGTTTTAGTGAATCAGGTCCTTGGATATTTCAGATGGTTGAGAGCACTCCGAGGTTTTAGATTTGCTGACTCTTTCTTTGGAGTTCTTTGTATCAGATTTTGCCGACATCGTGCTTGACTTGGTTAGGTATATGGGTTAATACGTCCTTGCCTTTGTGTTTCTTAATATATATGTATATATTTTTAATATGCTTAGCCTTTGTACAGGGAATTTCAATAAAAAAATAAACCAGAATGGTTCGCATCAATACTAGAAAATGTACGTAATCTCCTGCACGTAACCATGCTTGAGACCACGTCAACTGAGAGTCAAGTTCATCCTGTATTGCGCTTATGGTAGGCACTTGCCGCCTCAAAAGAGCGTAGTGGTGACCACGGAGATAATACATGGACATATAGCTGAGCGAAGGAGATGGTGCCGCATTCTGCATAAGAGGAAGCTTCGTTCAGATGAAATTGTGGGAAGCAGAGTGCGATACACACATATAAGAGCCTCGAGACTGGTTTCATACGCGCCACGTTTCCGCATCTCTTTCAACACACGCTCCCAATCTGTTCTCGCCTCCACCTATCGAAGGGTATCACTGTCTTCTTCGAGAATACATCAGCACTTGCTAACGCGAAACTTGGCAAATAGATTGCGCCGAATGTATACACAAGTCGAGAAATTACATTGAAGGGACGTCGACTCGGCGTGCTGGGGCGACCAGCAAGCTAGGGCTGTGGCAAGCCGTGAGAAGCAAATGTTCGGAAAGGGAAGAAGAATAACAACAACAAAGATTTAGGAAGGAGGAGAGGCCGAGAAACCACTCACCTGAGTCGGCCGAAGAGAGAGAGAGGAAGAGAGAAGCGAATTCGTTGTTGGGGAGTCCGGCGCAACGTTTTCACATCATCGATCAACGACCGTGGTCGGCACGGGGTACGCACACGCACGCACTCGCTGCTGCAGTTTGGTCAGAGGGCGAGGAGGGCGCGTGCAAAGAGCGAGGGACAAAATGAAGGGAGAGAGCGAGGGAGGGCGCTGCTCGAGGCCGAGAGAAACTTGGGAACATGCAGTATGTATATAATGACGCGCTTGCACGTGAGGTCCTGCGGCCCCGCCAAGATTGTAGGGATATATATAGTTCCATGTACCCGCGCCTGTACCCATGCACGTATACTCTGTTGAAACAAAAGCGTTGCTGGAAAGTATATGTGTGTGTGTGTGTGCGTGTACGTGTGTGTGTGGGTGGGTGGCTACGGAAAGTGGCGCTTGCGTCAAAATAGGCCGCGACGGGGACTCCGTGTACTTTGTACTAGCGTTAAAGCTTTTCTGTCGTTTTTGTTAGAATTCTGCAGTACCAGTCTGTGAAGCGAGACGAATAGGCTGTCGCTTTCCGTCTGAACAGGGGGTGGGATTAGGTTCCACTGTGCAGTGCCGAACCCTGGTGCTTCTTTGCGTTCATTTAAGGGTTGTGTCATTTGTGCCTACAAATCAGTGACCAGATTCTTTCGCGGACGAGATAGAATCTTCGAGTTATAAAAACAAGGTCGAGCGAGCAGAAATAAAAGTATCATTTCATAAATATACATTAACTCGTATTTATGTCAATAATAATAATAAAAAAAAATACGAAGCAAAGTTGTATAAACCTTCGATCACGAGTAGCGAACCCATTTCCGACTTTAATACATTCTCAACCTCGAAACAATATGTACAATAATTAATCAATACTACTGCGTCCTGTTCTTTTTTTTTTTCTTTCTTTTTAGTATGCGGAATTGAATTAAGCAGTATACGACACCTCCGAGACTCGAGAAGTGTGATACATATTGATTCATCGTTCATACAATGGCGCCTCCTGTATCACTTAGTGCGCGATAAAATTATTTACTGCGAGCTGCGCCATATATCTTTTCTTTCTTCGGGTTATCTACTCTTATATGCAACTCAGAGTGATCGTTCCGATGCTGCCTTGCGTATTTCAAACAGAGAGCTAAGAACGGGGTTGCCATGTCGTTCATCGGTTCACTGTTAAGTCGTTCTGGAGCAAAATTGGTTGTCTGAAAGTTGACTGTGTTGAAATATTTAGCATCGTCAAGGAGGGAAGGGATGTTGCATTACCGTGGTTGGAAAAGCTGCAGACAGGGTTTGTCGAAGACATGCCGTATAGAACCTGATGTCCATGGACAGGGTAAAGCTTATAATGAAACGGTAATAAGGAGCCAAGCACCCCTTGTCACACCCACAAATGACCGCCAAAATGGAGCATGTCCTCTGGCTATGGGTCCAGTTTGAAAGTAAGCGGGATCTGGGGACACGGCATCGATTTTCCCTATTTAAATACGGTTGTAAGTAGGAAAGTAGTTTCCTTTGCTAAATTGTTTACTATGCAAACGTATTTTAATTTCATGTTCTTGTCTACTCAGGTGCGCCTGCAAGGGAAGCTGGAGGACAAGGCTCGCTGGAATCAACAAGCCTGTTGGGTAATAATACATTTAGTTGGATTACCGGTCTTTTTTGTTACAAATAACAAAATCAAGGAAACGAAAAAAAGTCGTCTACGATGTCGCAGTCGTCATTGCGAGAATGCGTAATCTGACTTTTTATTTATACAATTCAGATTAAAAAAGAACATATTTAAAGAATTGTCTTTTTTCATGTTCTTACCGCCGATTGGTGTGGTTGGCTCTTCAAGGGCTCGTGAGGCATTATACTGGCGGTATTTAAAATTAACCACAACGATCATATTATTTCTGAGGTATCGTGGTTGTATTCATGCTAAAATCGAAGAATGTTTGCTTACCTCCCTATAGTGTCATAAAACCAAGATAAAGTCGACTTAACACATGTACGCAGTAATTTTTTTTAAGTAGATGATTTTAGTAAAAACACGCGACAGGAAAAAACTGAAAAAATCTCGGTAGGAACTGATATCGGTTTTTTTAAAAAGTTCTGAAGGTATTTTTTGTTTTGTTTGTTTAAGTGCGTTTTTTTCGAGGACGGTAAACTGGCATCACTTAGTCTTCGAGAGCAGGTGTTTTTGTCGGAGTCTCCAGCTGCTTCATATTCGGATGGAGCGCTGAACCGCTGATACAAGTGCAGTGCAGCGGTCGTTCCTCTTCTTCTTATAATTAGTTGCCGCGATGACACGCAATTATGAAGCCGGAGAAGATAAAAATAATTGTTTTACGAAGAAAATAATTTCAGCGGTGAGAAAAAGAAAAATTAGCCGCCTCTTTCGCGGCTGGCTTAATTTCCAAAGACGGGAAGAAAAAAAAAAGTTTCGCCAAATGAAATACTTGTATATACCATGACATGACGACACAACTTGCGGACGAAATGTGGAAAACAGAAGAAAAAAAATGAAAGCAGGCGCGAGGACTGCATAACCGAAAAAGCAGAAAGAGTAAATCGTCCGCGAGGAGCATCAACAAGTGATCAGAAAGTCTGAGGTCCCCGAAAGCAGAAGGGGAAAGAAAAATTATAATTAAGCAGCAGCAGCCAGAGGCAGTGCCAGCAGCACCGGTGTGCCGACTGATAATCAATCATTCCCGTTCTGCCACGTCTCGGAGATAATTTAAGGGTAGCTGGGAATGAGAGAGGGCGCAAAAGAAAGGGAGCGTGTTCTGAAGCAGAAGAGGAGGGGGGGACCCCGGAGAAGCGTTCTGTATCTCTCGTCTCTTGCCGTTTTTCTCCTTTCCTGCACGAGTACCATCCCGTGGTGCCTCTGCCCCTATCTTCGCCGGCTACATGGTCAAACGCGTATACGCGCGAGGATGGTGGCGAAGAACGACGCACAGGCACCGCTTACTCATCGATAAAAGATGCCACAACAAACCTGGTCGCAGCCAAGAGGGCGAGTGTATCGTAAGAACTGAGGGCGAGGAGGTACGGGGAGGGAGAAAGACGGAAGCGGGGAAGTTCAGGAGGGCGCGCATGCGCAGTGGACGACAATGGATTTTTAAGGCCGCCATTGGCAGTGATGAACGAGGCAGAGCGCCACGTCGAAAGGCCGAGGAAAAATGGCTGCCCCGGCCAGCATGCGCCCGCCGCGTGCGTTGCGCAGGGACGGCGTGTTCTCGCCGAATGCTTGGAGTGGAGCTGTGCGCCGCGACGATGGAGATTCGCCGAGAAGAGGGAGCACGATAGCGCCCCGTCGGCTTGGACCTTGATTCATTCCAATTTTAATGCGATTCAAGGACGGGAGTTTGTTGAAAAGCTCATAACTGTCGTCGTGAACTGGATTGCTCGGTATTCAAAAGAGCATGGCTTCATAAGGTCGAATTCAAAAGAGATTTCCGTCCGACGTAGTCCGGTTAATAATCAATTGAGGGATACCGAAAACATAATTGCCGAGAGCTGATTTGGCCGACAATGTTGTGGCTTGCACAACTGTACTCATTAAAGTCTTTTGAGAACCACAACGGTTGCTGTGATTCAAGTTGTGATTCAACTAGAATCGGAACTTTGGTAGCTAAATTAAAACGCACAAAGAGTTGCCTCTGCTTTCCGCTTGGTATTTGTAGCGGGAGCTAAACGACATGGCTCGTATGTCACTTCTGCTCTTCGAAACTCTTAAAGAAAAATAAAAAAAAGTACGTGGTTTTGCCTGAAATTTGTTTTCCCCTTCCTGTTACGGCGATTGATTTGCTTTCAGATATGGTGTTCGCACAGGAGTGAGACTCGTCCGTTCAAAGCGAATCACGACGTCGTTCCTGAGGAATTAGAAACAACAGTTATACCTGGTCGCGAAACCAGCTCTACTACGAGGACTGTTTACGAAATTAGTAATCGGGTCCGTATACATTCTGCTACTGCATACTTGTAGCAGTGAACCGGCGAAATAACACGCGTAGACACCAGATGAAGCAACTATATACATAAAGCGAGAAGCCCCTATACATATGTCGGCTATGTATATCAAAGAAGTGTGCTGCATAGTCTTCGTCAAGAAACCAGAATTTTGAACCAGTGTATTGCTCAATAAAGATAAATAATGGGCACGAGCTGCGGCCCAGCAACCTGTATACTCCCTTGCAAGCTCTCTGCAGTCGGTAAAGAATTGTGTCCGTCTTGCCAGGAATAGTGAGATGTAAAGCAGACTCGTTAGCTCACGCTACGCGCTTTCTCTATTAAGCAATGTTGATTATGAAGGTCGCGCTCCGTGAACCCCCCTCGCAACAGCAAGTGATCTCTAAAATTACATCCTGACGCAACTTGACCCCAATAGTGGGGATTTTTTTTCTGGTTCAGGAGGCCAAACCCAGCAGCTCGCTCGGCTTCGCAACAGGAAGCGGAAGGGGAGGAACTTCGAAATATCGATTCACGAACGCAGTTTAAATATTTACGCCGGCCCTCATTGGTCGAACCAATCAAATGGGGGAGAGAGGGAATGCGACAGGGCTTGTTTCGATCGGCCGTTCGGGCCACGGAGAGACGATGGTAGATGAGTCCGCAGTCATTTTCGCCTATTCTACGCCGAAATGGACTCTCGTTTGTCCCAAATCTATTGTCACTTTCAAAATGGTTTCTTAACTCGCGTTGTGTTTTTATTCGAGCTGTTATAGGCGACGGCTAGCTTCGAAGATTGGCTTTTGTGTACTACCTCGCCGTATCATGTTCATCGATGGAGCGGTTCGCGTAATTAATTTAAACGACCTATGTATCGTGAAACAGTTTTGTGTCAGTTGTTGCCTGCAGCATCATTATTGAAAATGTAAAAGATGATACGTAAGTGAGAATGCCAGAATAATCTTTTTACATGACTTGTTCATCGAATAAGTTTATATAGGCCGGCGCGCATTTTCTACCATTTTAAGCAAATTAAGATATTCCGGGTAAGAACCAAAGCTTCACTTATTTAGCAATGCTTTTAAGGTATCCGACAAACAATAACATATCAGTTTAATAAATTGAACTGGATATTAGCAGAGGTTCAAGGAACCACTGTTTTTCTACCGAGTGATTGGAATTAGGAATAAACGAAACCACATCTTCACATATAAAGCGCATTTCTTACGATATATATCATCAAAATATATGTGTGGATATGTTTCTAATATTAACATTAAAATTCAAAAAAAGTGATATGAACCCGAACACACACGCTCACACGCACCTACACACGCACGCACACACAAACACACGCAAGACCGGGATGAATTCTGTTCCGTTTACCATCACACTTCCATACCATTTATTGCTTGATACAGACCTCTTATATGTTAATGGGTCAGTTTCAACTTACAGAAATAGACGTAAAAATGGCGGGGCAAGACAAAACAGCTAACAACTATCCAATAACTTTTATTTAATACGCTTCTTTTTCGTATTTGTAATCATATTTTTCAGAGGCCTTTCACATATGCGCAAAATAACTATTGGTTTGAAATAATAATTACAAAAGGAAATTATTAGATCTTCCGTTGTCCGCTCCTCCTGCCAGTTATCTGGGCATGGCACACCGAAAGTCCTGTTTTTCTTTGGTGTGGATAGGGATGGACGAGATGCTAACACATTCCCCAACGTATTCTTCGATCGAGCAGCTTGCGTGCAAAAAGATTCTTGTTTGTTGCAAGATTGGTGATGTTGCTGAATGCTGCACTGTATTTTCACGTCTTACAATGCGCTGATAAATGGCCTGCTGATGCGCCCCTTACAGGTGCTGCATGACTCTTAATTCTGTCGTTTATGCATCGGTCTGTTTGACCAATGTAACACTTAGCACATGCAAAAATAAAATAAATAAACAACACAAAGTTTATATTTGGCATTGGGCGTATCTTGTTGTGTGGGAAGTGCCGCATGTCTTCATTGGGTTTGTTGACTGGCTAACTCCTCTTGGCATAGAGTATGCTTTGTTTGGCGCTGAGCAAACGACTTGAATGTACTGTATTCCGGCATTCATTTTTAACTTGTAGGTGCTCCCGTGAATGTATTGCATAACAGCGATCATTCTTCGAGTATCTCCTTTTTATTTGGAGCCGTTGTGCGTTTCAATTTCTTGTAAATGTTTTCACAGATACGAGCGTTGTCGGGTATCCTGCATCGCGCAGGCTGGAAATATGTTTTTCCAACCCTGGACCATGTTGATGTTTACAATATTTGTTGAGGGCAGAGGAAAGCGCTGTGCTGGCAGCACTGCTCTTGATAGTTCTCGACTGCCCGGAAGCAATTAGAAGGAACCCCTTTCCCGGCCGGGGTTCGTAGCTCCAGCAAACGTGTCCTTGTTTAAATGCTATCGCGAGAACTAGGAACTTTATTAATTGTTTACGTTTAATTTATGTGTGAACACCAAATCGGGACAGCTTTCTTGAAATATCTCATAGTCTTCTCTTTGTATACTTCTTTCTGCTCACCTATCTCTGCGGCATAGAGTACTAAGAAATCATCCACGTACTTAAAGATACCTTTAATTCTTGTGTGATTTGGGTTATTTGAATGATCCTGTCGCATGCTGGCAGATGAAGATGACATATTTAAG